GCAATAACTGGATGGCTGGAAGTGGGGTCGGAGGTCACCTTGGTTACGCTTACCTCTCTTTTCTTTATAAAGTTGTAATGGTTTATATTTAACCCCAGGTCTTCTACTTTGCCAAATAAATCTGGAAATGATTTTATCAATGAAAATCCTTCTGGGTGGTTTCCACTGGGAGCGCCTGGAGCAAATCGAGATCCCACAGAAGCAAAGTTCATGTTCACACAATGTGGCTCAAACTGAGGAAGCTCCACCTTCTTTTATCTTTAATCTTAGTGAGTAAGGGAGCATATTTATGTCTTTTGGCAAATAAATACCAAACATTTCACTGAGTGCTGATCCATTAAGGAGTTTTTCACAGTTGTTTCAGAGGTTTGTAGCTCAATGTTAAGTTGTGTCTTATGTACTTTGTAACCAGAGGAAAATGTTTTATTAGGCTCACATATATGTTTATGTACTAAGACATCATCCGCACACAAAGCCACTTTGTGTTCTTCTCCATTTATATGAATACCTTTAATACTTTCTCTGTAAAGAGGAGCAGAGCAGCGAGGGGGGGCAGCCGTGCTCTGAACCGCGCTGCAGTGTGATGAGACAGATGTCCATTAATTTTAATCCTGGAAGATGGATATTAGAGTACGAATCAGCTGAATACAATTACGAGGTGTCCCAATGTCTTCCAGAACTTCCTATAAGAAAGCGCAGCTGACTGCATCCACACTCACCAGTAGAGCCTCTAGTTTGGTTTGTTGAATATAACGTAAGACATGTGACGAGCATCTAATGTTGTCATGAGCTCGTCTCTGCAAAACAAAGTTTGATCCTTGTGTATAAGATGTGGGAGCATTTGTTTCAGCCCATATGATCCAGAATAGCTCGCTCACGAAGGAGGCATTTTTGATGTGCACTGCAGGCCTTTAGTGGGCATGGTAATAACTCCAGAATACTCTGAAGGAAAGCCTCCAGGTGTCTTTCTAGCTTTCAGCCTGGAGGTGGCGCCATTTAGTTCTCTCTCTGTGATCTCAGCTATCAAAATGTTATGTTGTTCAGCTGGAGCAGGTAAGTGAAGTAGGCGCTGCAGGGGGCGCACCTGAGCGGCAGCGACAATCCTCGCCGGCTGAAAGGCTGAACTGGGTCCTGTAGTGTTGTTGTTAGTGTGGCTGCGAGCTGCACAGCTGCAGCCGTTTGTGTGTAGATGCTGAGTGGAAACGTGGTCGGGTCTGCCTTTTGTGATTCCTCTTCTCTATGCAGTATCTGGTCCTTAATGTTGCATCGTGTATTATCCAGAGACAAAAGTCAATGCTTCATACGTCTACGTAGGTGATGTCTCCGTAGCCATGATGTTCCCAGAGAGGAATATAGTCCGTCTTACCTAAATATGAGATTTGTGAAACACTCTGAGATCTTCAGTCGTCTCCTGAACACCTGAAGCTTCTCTCTGTGTTTCTTCTTGTGTGGAATCAAACACACTGCAGCGTGACGATCCCTCTCTCAGCGTGGTGTCCACGTCCCATGTGCCAGGCGGACAGTCTACTGGTATTGCCATAAAATGGCCACATAATCTGGTCAGTATATGAGTCTTAACTGGGCATGTAGGAAGTACTGTTTCAGTTTGAGGGAGAGCCGTTCCTCCTTTGTTTTTAGGTAACTGCAGAGTTTCCTGTCTGACTGCAGGTCTCTTGCCTCTGCCAAAACAAACCTTGATATTATCTCTACGCTCTGCTCGGCCTGTCGGTACCACTGACTGTGTCCGAAGTCCCACAGGCTAACTCAGCTCTGTTGGATGCCTTCTTCAGCCTGGTGGGTCCCTTCACCTCCGGTGTCCACTGTCTGGTTCGGGGGTCGCCACCACAACAGGTACCGAGTACCTCGCAGCTCCTTGCAGCAGCTTCAGCAGTGTAGGTGCTGAAGCTGGTTCATTGGGACTCAATGTCCTCAGTGTCCCTCAGAAAGCTGTCAAAGGTCTGATGGAGGTGTGAAGACCTCGCAGACCTCTGCCAGGTGTTCCCAGCACACCCTCACCACACGTTTAGCTGCGTCTATCCAGTTTCCTCCACCTGCGC